CAGCAGGCCGGGACGGAGGTGGGACTGCAGTGGCATGACGCCGAGCTCACGCACACCGTAATCAGCAGGCAGTTGTGCACCTGCACTGGGCTCCTGGTGCGATGCTTTGAACGAGTCAGTTCTGATCAGTTTTGATAAAAGAGATTAAAGATTGGACTGGTAAAGAAAGGGGTGAAGCCTTGAAGGACACAGGGGAAACTGGCTAGCACTACGGGAAATGTAGCATCAAAATGTATCACCTAATGTGGCATAGAAATGATTATAACCCTGTCTAGCATCGAACGTATGCCTGCCTAAATGTACATGGAAAGCTGGTGGCACGCCACCGACAGCTGGTGCTCCAGCCGGCAGCGGAAGGGGGTCCCGCTCTGACCATCTCACTCTCACTCTCACTGATGCCCTGGATGGCAGGACAGTGCACTCTGTGCCCCACCAGCCAGGCGAAGCCGCGAGAGAGGTAGAGGCGCCTCGGCGGCCATCTCCAGAAGCCCTGGATGGCGGGGGAGGGGCGAGGCAACGGGGGGAGTGAACGGCAGGCTGCTAGACCGCTTCAAGCGAGGGGCATAGGATGGCGGCGGCGGGCGGCTGAGCGAGCGCGCATGTGGCACCCAATTGCATATGCGCAGATTGCTGCTGCTCGTCTGCCTCTGATTGTGTGCAGCCACAGCATGCAGACGACGTAGGTCAAGGTGAATGCTGCCGACTTTGTGGCAACATCAGTGACGTCGATTGGCATCGCCGCAGAGGTGGTCGGGTTGCGACGCCCCCCAGGCAGCAGGCGCGCCGGGAGGCGGGTGGCAGCCCGCGTGGCTCGCGGCGCCCGCTGGCCCTGACCAGCCCTCGGTTTGCCCATCTTGGCGGCGAAGCTGAGGCTGGGCTGCATCTTGCTATCAGTCTGAGCTATCAGTCTGAGCTAGCTCGGCTGGCGGGGCAGTGGCGGCTCTGACGGCGAGCAAAAGGCGTGGCTGCCAAGGCCTGCTCTCCGAACTCAACTGGAGACTCAAACTCAGACTTGAGACTCAAACATCCCAACATGTGCTCAGCATGCTGCGGTGCCAGCTCGGCCCTTCACTTTTGCCCTGCGCCAAATCAACCAATACTCCGCTACTTCGGTCCGGTGTTGTGTAAAGTGTCTATCTGAGTCCACCCTGTATTGCTGCGGTCACACCAGTCCTACCAGTCTGAGAGATGTCACATCTCACATGTGGCCCTCCTGTGGCCCACTTCTTCGCCCTCCCTCGCTCCCACCCACTGTTTGGCTTGCGTCGCCTAAGGCACAGCGCCCCAGGCTGGTAACCGCTACGGCGGCGGCGGCCGGTGGCGGCGCCGGCGGTGGAGCGGTTACGCGGCGCTCTGACCGGAGGATTAAACCGCGCGCAGGCAGCGCTGTCGCCATCCGCCGAACCCTTCCTTCCATCCACCTCCCGAAACGCATGCAGGGCACGCTGCGCCCATGTTGGGCGTGGTTTCTGGGCCGCAGCCAGCGCAGCAGCTGGCAGCAGTCCGAGCTGAAGGCTCAGATGCGCCACGAGATCAACCTGAAGAAGCTCATTTAAAATGTGAGGAGAGCCGTCAAGCGACGGCTAAGAATTGCGGGTTGAGAGTTGAGAGGTTGAGAAACTCAAGCTGCGGCGTAGGCAGCAACCACACCCGCCCCAAGCCGCCAGCGCCACGCGCAGCACGCCCTCCACCCAGCCCCCACCGCCGCTCCCGCCTCCCAGCGGCGCCTGGCCGCCCGCGCCCCAGACGCCTGCGAGTGGGGGTGCCTGCGCTCGGACTGCCGCAGCCGAGGCTTCTGCGGCTGCCGCCGTGGCCTGGGCCGCCGCTGCTGCGGGGCATGAGGCCGCCGCCGAAGCCGCCACCCAGCACGCTGCCGCCCAGCCGGCGGTGCAGCAGGCCAACGCTGCGGCAGGGTGGGCGCGCGCCGCTTCTGTCTGGCTCGCTGCGCACGACGCCCTGGACGTGGCATCGCAAGCCGACCCGGATGCGGAGGCTGTGCAGCAGGCAGCGGCAGCGGTGGAGGCGTCTTGCGGCTTCAAGCGCCAGCGCCGCGGCCTGCAGGGCTGATGCCCCGTTGCGTCGGCACCTGGCCGTTGTTGCCTGCTCTGCTTCATGAGTGATGGTTAACGTTCGCTCCAGAATAAGTTGATGCATTGCGTTATTGCATGAGAGAAGGGACATGTGCACCAGGATTACAGGATTGCAGTGAAGGGTCAAGAGTCAAGAGCGGAGACATTCCCAAAAGGGGCTTCGGTTTCTCACTCAGACACAGGGCCTGAGCAACGGTGGGGCATGGGCGGCCCTGCTTGCGACCTTCCGATATGTCTGTCCATGTTGGGCCGACACTCACTTCACTTCAGTCGAGATTATCGGAGCCGGTGGTGTGGGTGGTGGTCGGTGTGCGTGACGTGTGGTGACATGGTGCACAGACGGGGCACTCGATACCGATGTCAAGCTCATCCAGCTGACTGTGCAGTGCCTCCACATCGGCCTGCAAACTAGGCAGTAGGGTGCAGCCACGTAAGGCCAGCACCAAGTGGTACGGGCCAATGGCAGATGTGGGTGTCCCAAGCTCAAAGACACACCTGGCAGATCGACAGTTTCTTCTGTGTAGTGCAAAGGCAAGCAGGGTCAATGCAGGCTTCGCTCGGCACCTGCCGCTGGCACAGTGACTTGCACATGCGCTGTCAAACCTGTCCAACTGCGTCCAGCTGTGGCCGCTGGTGCAGAGCCCAGGGCCCGGACAGTCAGCTGCGGCAGCGCACACAGCAGCCAAGCCAGCTGCAGCCCCACCCTCCACACCTTGGACTTGTACGCCTGAAGCTGCTTTTTCAGAGACACGATGGTGGCCTCGTCGGCACGGTCCACCTGCACCATCCACGTGGGGCATGGCATGGGAAGCCACAACCCATCAGGTGGTGGTGTCAGCACTACTTTGGGGCGTGCCTCACCAGTGCACTGATAAACATGTTTGCGATCCAACCAGCACCATAGTGGTGCTGGCCAGAGGCACTCCACCCAGGCAGGTGCGCACCATTTTGATGGCAGCGCTGATAAGTTCAGCACATGGCCTATCCACCCTCTTGTTGCCAATCTTGGCCTCCAGCGTGTCAGCCACACGGCCGGGCACAACAGATTTTATGGCAGGTCCTACCCACCGCCACACGGCGGCAAGTACGGTAACCGATCGTCGCGAACTCGACGCCTTCACTTCACCATCCTGCGTGGTTGCTTGCAGGTCAGGGGTTGCAGCTGCAGGCGCAGGCGTCCACAGCACACTGAGATCAGCAAAGATGATTGGAAAACGCCACGAGGCTCTGGTGCAAACGGCAGCGGCAGCTGGCGGCGGCGGCGCGCGGCGGCGGCGGCGCGCCTTGAACAGCACATCAAGGTTTTGCGCAGCGAACAAGGCACTCTCACCCTGCGCTCCGGCTGCCAGGAGTGCCAGGATCAGGAAAACATGCATGGGCGCGCTTCATGAAGGTTGGGGGCCG